GATCTCCACCAAATTCGGGGGATCCCTTCAGCTTGAGGAGCCCTCTCGAACGCCACCCTCCGCGTGTCGGTAGCCCCCCGGAATCGCTTGATCGGTCGACGCCGGACCGCGAATTTAACCGCCCGTAACTCCCGAACCCCGGGGGCTATCGACGCGGTGGTCTCATTCGAAAGAGGGCCTCTCGCGTTCGAGAGGGTTCCTTGAGCTGAAGGGATCCCCCGAATTTGGTGCGGATCCACTGCGCCGTTACGGAGATATGGTCGTTCAAAGTTTCAGTGGTTTTCCATAGACTTAAGCTTTAAAGCATTTCATCCAGGTCACCAGTAGCAAACAATGGAGCGCGCTCTGCTGGAGAAACTAAGTAATTACACCTTTTCAAGCATTTTATCTGCGTTATATGCTCTGTAAAAAAAAATTCATATCGGCGGCATATTCGCCGATACCGATATATCGGCAACAGTCTCATATCGGCCGATAATATCGGCAAACGATATATCGGTCCGGCTCTATTACTTACATTACCTGTCTCACTTTCACTGCTTTCCTTTCATAGGTATTTTCATTTTTGTACTTTTGCTACTTATATTATTTTTTGTAACTTTACTTACTTTACATGCATTTCTTTCAGCACTTTTATTATTTGCATTACTTTCCTTTCTTTACTTGTTTGCGTCACTTGTTACTTTTATTGCTTTAATTTCCATATATTACTTTTGTTACTTTCCTTACTTTACATACTTCCTTATACTACTTTACTTTACATTCTTGAATTACTTGTTACTTGTCTTATTTTTAACACTGTTGTTTCTTACTTTACTTTACTTACATGTGTCAGTTTTAGCATTTTTATTACTTTATTTATAATACTTTCATTACATTACTTATTTTACATAATAGCGTTACTATTGTTACTTGCATTATTTTTAACACTGTTGTTACTTGCTTTACTTTCCTTTATATACTTAGCTTGCTTGCGTTAGTTTTAGCACTTTTATTACTTAAATTACTATAATACTTTCGTTACTTTCCTTACTTTACATACTCAGGTTAGGGGTGTGCGATATATATCGTCTGCGATAATATCGTAATTGTGGTTACTTGTGTTAATAGTGTTGCATTATTTTTGACACTATCGTTACTTGCTTTACTTTCCTTTATATTACTTTCACTTCCTTGTGTTACTTGTGGCACTTTTGTTCTTACATTACTTGCTTACATTACTACTGCTACTTTTGTTGCTTACCTTACCTGTGTCACTTTATGTACTTGAAAACCTACAAACTTTGTGTTTTGTTTAAGGACTTTTGAGGAAGTCTGTGTAGCCCCGATTAGACGAAATAAAACAAATTCGTTTTTCAAATAATTTATTACTTTCCTTGCTTATGTTACTTTGAGTACATTTGTTACTTTCCTCATTTACATTACTTTGGGTATTTGAGAACTTTTAAACTATGCATTTTGTAAAGCCTTATATAGCTGAATCTCGCTTTAGATAAAATATTCTAAACTGGGATACAGTAAATGTTATTGACAAATGTGTTTAACAAAATAAATGTTATAAATAAAACACAAAAACAACCGAACAAACAAAACAAATACATTCTTGTCTCTTTCAACCCCACTTGTATACGTTCATCATTATCATATAAACTGCTATAGGATGCAGCCTTCAGTTTTGTTTTTAAATGCACAATAGTACATTAAATCAAATCCATGAACATTAGCAGCTTTCGACCTGTATGGCAGGTTTTCTTCTTTATAACCACACCAGTTTGATGCCTGTAAAAATGGCAGTTTTGTTTCTCACAGAACTCTCTCAGACTATCTACAGTTGTGTCTGTACAAGGCGACACAGGAAAAACATTTGTGAGATTTTTTTTTCTCATACCTCCCCCTTCTTTCCAATTCATTCCTTTAAACAGGGTAATGCAATTAACTATTCAGTGAAGAAAAAACACTCAAAGATCCCGTCCCCTCTCTCTCTCTCTCTCAGTAGTGAATAGCAGTGCTCTGGTCTTGGTTCACTGAAGTGTTAGAGTTCACTGATCTTACAGGCAGTGTTTGTTTTAGCACGCGTGTTTCCATAGATCTCTCGTTCCTGGCGCAGTGTCTCTCTCACACTCACTCATCCTGACTGGGCTTTGTACTGATGTTCTGTCATAGTACGCAAAGCTTAATAGTGCTTCTTGTCTGCATAAAGAAATTCAAATTATGTTTGTTTAACAAAAGTGTATTGTTGCGTTACATTGTCATGTTGTTCTTAAAAAATGTTAAAAAGCTTGTTTTTTGTCAAATAAAGTGCATTGTCTATTTTTGTGCAAACCCATATTTTCTCCTGAAAGAAAATGTCTATTTTTGAGTACTCCGCAAATTGTATTATGGTCCTGTGATGGTATGATATACACTATAAACTATAATATAAATATAAAATCCAACATTTTAATACATGCCATCTTTACAAGTATAATTTCCTTCTTTATGTAGCCTAGCTGAAAAACAAAAACCAGACTCATTTTTTTCTTTGTCTTGTTTTCAAAATGGTTCTCACACTTTCACACACTTTCTCCCGGGTTCCCCCTCAGTATATGTGTGAGAGAGCAAACCAGGTGTTGTAGTTTTATGGCTGTTGTGTTGCCGTATATAGGCATGTCAAAGATTTCAAACACCCTAACTACGTCACTTGCAGGTTTTGAAGAACAAGTTCTCCGTTTTATTGCTTTATTTGTTCCCACAAACAAGCAGAAGACCTTGAGGCTAAACTAAGCCTGACATGGAGCTGTACAGTAGAAATATCTCGATTTGTACGTAACGCAGAGTTGCTCTTCAACATTTTGGTGCTGTGTGTTTTGTTGGAGAAATTCGTGTCGCAGACCTAGAAAAACAGAAAAATCTTATTTAGGATATTATATGCGCCACCAGACACCAAAACAACTTAGAGCAACTTATCTGCGACAACAACAAAATAACTAAATAGTAAAATTACAAAAAATACTGAATGCAATTCTAATTTATTTTTACTAAAATATATGAATGACACACTTCATTTGCTAAGATTCTCAAGTGCACAGCTAGTTGACACTTTACAATCCCTTAATGCCACGGGAGCTGGGAAGTTGTCAGATAAAAATGAATAAATAAATACATTTTAAGCCAAAAAAAATTTTTGGTTACATTCTTCAAAATATCTTCTTTTGTGTTTTACAGATTAAACAGAAAGTCATACAGGTGTCGAACAAGATGAACAAGTAAATGATGACAGAATGTTCATTTTGGGGTGAACTATCCCTTTTACAACGCACGCCTGAGTGAATTATTTTCCAGATTGTTAGTACGTTACAGGTCAGAGCATACAGGTCAAAGGACAGTGTCAGCTGGGTGGATGTAGCGAGTCCAGGAATGCATTTATACTACACACCTGCATACCTAAACAACATATTTAATTCATTAAGTTCATTGAAGTTAATCTCTGTAAAACAATAAATGCTGTATTATTCATGAAAAGACAGAAGTTGGCGATACCACTTTGTAAGGAAACACTTATAGATGCAATCCCCTCACCTTTTGTTCAAAATTCACCTTTTTTGAGATCAAAATATCAAAATAGGTCTCATATGAGATTCGTGTAGATCTGATGAGAAACATTTTGGGTAATTTTTTCTGTATACTGGACCAGACAGATTAAGGTCACTGTTCTTGATGCTCGAAATATTCAAAGAAATTTCAAAATGTTGAATTGACGCTTCGCAAAAACCCGCCCTCCTTAGTTACTGTTGCTATGTCCGACAAACAATGCCGCTCTCTCACTACACATCATGTTCTGACACAGTCACAACAACATCGCGGAGCAAAGAGGACACTGACAACACACCGACAGACAGACAGACAAGACAAGACAAGATTTTGTCTTTTTTTTTTTTTAAATTCAAACAATAAATGGCGTTTTGTGGCTCTTTAATGTGTCGTGACAGATCGCTGGATTGCCTCAGTTCAAGCGGCACATGAACTGATCGTCTTTTTATATTTACTTAAAGCACGAAATAAACATGAATGAACATCAGAACGTATTTTGTTTCAATCACGGAAAGATGTCAATACACACTATTTTTCAAGTTTAAGTCCACCAAAGATATTCTACTCTCCTGTCTGATTTGTTTTTCGGACAAGATGGCAGATTCTGCGTTATGATTGGTCATAGCACCTGTCAATCAAGCTTTTTGCGAAGGGTCAATTGAGGGTGGAGGTTCATATGAATGTATCTCTGAAGGGAACTGATTGTTTTCAGAAAATTTCAGATAGCATTTTCTTTTAATTTTACCTCCATTTATTGCATATTAAAGTAGTATTTATCCACCTTTTTTTCAAGGTAAGAACGGGCGCAGCCATTTGCACATTTTGTGGGACTGGCTTCCGGTGTCATTTCCAGCTATTTTTTGCTGTACAAAACAGCTTGTTTTGCTGCTTGATAATGCAAACTGGTGTCTCAAACCTTATTATTTTCATGTATGATCTTTATTATGAACACACTGGTTTGTAGAGCAAACAATTTGACCTTTTACTGCACTTTGGTCTTCTTCTTGTTATTTCCCTACAGCGGCTAATGAACCGAAAATCTTGCACATTCACAGAAAATGATAAGATAATGAGATAAGATAATGAAAAATAAGGTGGATAGTTTACAGCGGTAGCCATGGAAACACAATATTGCGGCTGTTCCATAAGCGCCACCTGCCGTCAAAGAGTGAATGCAGTTTTAGCATAATTTCACAAAGCTAAAGTGAGACCATTGTGTTTCCCTTAAATCTTGAAATTATGCAATTTAATTTAAATGAAAAAAAATGCTCATGTATGAAGCATCGTTTTTTAGAATGTGATTTAAAAACAGTGGTTGCCTCTAATGGTTATCTGTTCAAGAAAAATAAGCAATCTGTATCAGTATCGGCCAATATGCTTGTAAAAAAATTGGCAATCATAATTTGCCATGAAAAATAATGTACGTTTTTGTAGTTGTAGCCTATACTTATAGCCTACGACCTATAGTCATAACTTTCACTGACTATTAAGAGTAAGTCGAGCAAGTGAGTACACTGCTCCACTCAAACTGAGAGAGTATACACACACAAACACACATATGTGTGTTAATGTGTGTGTGTGTATTTTGAATGACAATGTATATATACTGGTGGTGTCCAACTGGACCAATTCTGATCGTAGTGGTGGGCCGCTTGGACCAAAAATGATTTTTTTAGTTGAAAACAGTGTTGCGTAAACGCATTCAGATCAGATCTCATTCATTACCAATTTATTCAGAAGTTCTCTTTAATATAACTGGCTGTAAATGAGATGTAAATTATGAGCTAGTATTGACAGTGTGTGTAATTGTGTCCTGCAGATAGACGCGGATGAGGATCCAGACCGGGGGCAGCCGTGTATGCGCTGTGGAGAACAGTGTCCTGGCTTCCGCATGCATGGATGGAGGTAAGACTGCGGCGCTAAAACTTGAGGAAAGACCCAGAACGAAGGCTATCAAAACTTCCTTGTCCTCCCTTTTTACTGTCTTTTTGTCACTTGAAATGAAAATGATGCGAGACAGATTCAAAGCAACACATTCGATATATGTACTACAGGATCCGACCCTTTACTTACTTTTGAAGGACATTCGTCCCAGGCCTGGGAATGTGCAGACGGAAACTTAACGTCCTCAGACATAACATCTTGGATAATTGTTTTAGTTTTGCGTTTGTTTTGAAATTAAGTTGCGGGAAAAGGAAAGGAGGGAATATGGTGCTGATAAACGACGATAAACGTCTGTGAGGACCAGATACACGTGTGTGTGTGTGTGTGTGTGTGTGGAGTAAGACCTGGGATTCTTGTGTGTAACGTGAGACGTCTAATAATATTTCCAGAGCTGGTAATGAGAGCTGCGCAGTGTTTACACTGAGCACACTTCACTGTTACACCATTAGACAAGCATCAGCTGAAGAATGAGGAGCTTTAGTGTAGCTGCAGTGCGTACTTGTGTTCTCTGCTCTCTAATGCTGATCTCACTATAATATTGCAGGGTTCTTGATTGTTCTGGGAACGAGTTTATGACTCCAACATTATCCACATGTAAACAATCCAGATCACTTGGCATCAGCTGGTAAACGTGCCTGCTTGGATGTTTAACAGATGCTGTTTCACTTTCTCTTGTGTCAGTTCCAGAATTTCACAGACAGACTTGTGAATGAATAATACACAACATACTTTTATCAAAAAACAATTCTAAAATACTAATTCTGAATTTTAACACATTCGAGTCTGTTTTGCAACCATTAGGCCTATTTTTTTTTAGCTCTATGTATTCACTCATAAAAATGCTGGGTTAAATACAATCCAGTGCTGGGTGAAATATGGACAAACCCAGGAATTGGGTTGTTTTGACCCAGTGGTTGGGTTAAATGTTTAACCCAACCTTCTGGGTAGTAACCCAACCGTATTTAACCCAGCATTTTTTAGAGTGCATATAATATACATAAGCACTTGACTTAATTGTTAACTTTTGGCCTTGTGTATTCGCCATTGAAAAATCCCATCAATCAGCAGACACATTACTTCTGAAATCATGACCACTTACACACAGTAGATTTGGAAATATTCATATTTATTTCAGAGGCTGTTCAGAGCTGTAGATTGTTTCCATCAGATTAACTTTAGATGTCAGGAATAAGAATCCAAAGGGCAGTTTGTGACGTTAATACATGCCAGCTGTTGATCCTTCTTTTTGTGGGCATTTTTTTTTAAACATCACAAATGGACCATGTGACTGCTGTAGTTTAGCTGTCTTAGAAGTCTCTCTTTTTCAGAATCACTTGCCAATTTCTTCATCAGCTACTGCAATAATTTAATCTGTTTAGCTTTTATGCACCACTGTAAAAAAAAATGATGGCATAAGTTCTGAGAGGTTTTACTTTTGTGCGACACTACATCCACACTAATAGGTGTCAGTATGCAGTATAAGACCACTGTTGTATAAGGGCACATAAGGGTTAAAATATATGTTTGACTGAAAGCACATATGTATGTCCTCACAGTTTAGGGTCATATTTTGACCACTTGTTTAAACGCACACTATAAAAAAATGCTGGGTTAAAATTTTAAAAAACACCCCAGCACTGGGTAAATATTGGACAGAAAACATGTAACTCAGCAGCTGGGTTGTTTAATCGGAGACAAGCTCAACAAAGCGGTAGGGTAGAAAAAAATTACTCGGTGTTAAAAATGACCCAGCAACTTAGTTACAGAAAAACTACCCAGCACCTGGGTAAAAAATAGTAAAAAAAAATAACCCAATAAAATGACCCAACAAGCTGAACCCAACATTTGGGTTAAAAAAAATAATAACCCAGCACCTGGGTAAAAATATTAAAAACAACCCAATAAAATGACACAACAGGCTGAACCCAGCATTTCGGTTAAAAAAATAACCTATTATTTTTTAGAGTGCGCACACACACGCCTCACAAACACTTACCTTCAACTGGCAGCCGGTGTGTGAAGAAGCCAGACAATGACCTGGAACAAATGCTAAAGGACATGAGGCATTCCAGTGAGTTCAAAGGTGTGTGTGTGTGTGTGTGTGTGTGTTTTTTATACATAGCTATGTGTTGGAGGGAAAATTGTTGCAAGAATTTTGAAAAATATGATCAAATTTAATAATGTTAAAAATGGTTAATGAATAAAGTAAATAATATAAAAAAACTATAAAAAAAATAATTTTCAGCAATTGAAATAAATCTGAAATAAAATGGATTTAAAATATAGACTTGATAAATGTGCATGAGTTATGTTACCTTGATAACTAACTAAAATAAGTTTAAGTACTTAAATTACTAAAACTGAAATAAAAACAAATTAAAACAAAAAAAGAAATATAAAAAAATGAATAAAAATGACAAAGTTATAAACTAAAATTATAATGAAAAAAAATTAAAAAAATGAATAAATGCTAACAGTGTATATAAATAATACTAAAATAACACTGATTTGGAGTAGCATTAGTCTGACTTCTTTATATTTACATAATATAGCATGAAGTCTATGGTATGTCCTCATTTAGGCCCTGATTTACTGAAGGTTTGCATGTATAAAAACTAGGGATGCACCGATACCGATACTGGTATCGGTATCGCATGCAAACTTGATAGCATGTGTATCTTAATGATATTATCTTTTGGGGATTGTATCATTCTGAAGCACAAAAAAAATTAAATTGCAAGTTAGCTTAATGAATATATAATTTCAGATGTAATTTGGTTGTGCATCAATGCTGAACTACAGTGAAGTCAGTAATTTGGGGGTTGAAATTCAGATTTCTTTTTGAGATGAAACCGTGCTGGAATGTCATTAATATGTTAATAATAGCCTAATTTCTTTTAACTCAACTCATACAAAATTGCCCTACATTTTCAAGTATTAGGATGCCATAGTAAATAAATATTGGACTACTATATAAACACACACACACACACACACACATTCTTCTTTTTAGGGGATGTATCAGGACCTCATACTGCTATAAATGAACAAGTGCATGAGATCTGTTCTCACCTTAAATTAGTGGGACGGCACTAGCTTTTGGCACCATTGGTCTGTTTTATTCCCATGTGTGTGTCTAATAGGGGTGGAACGATACTTGTATTCGTACCGAACCGTCACGGTACGGTCATCTCTGTTCGGTGCATGAGGCCTTACAACGAATACAGGCAATTCACCCCCAATCCAGAAGGGGGCGCCCACAGCAATGCAACGCTGTTTGATAACCGGCCACCAGCAGAAGAACAGCGAATGCCATGAGTTGCGCACTTGAAAACAAAGCCCACTAGACAGTGACCATGTGCTGATTCTGAACGCGTCTCTCACTGACAAAGGAGTAAACTTTAAAGGCTTGTGCACTCAACTGTTTGTGAAATGGATCTTTGTGCTCGTGTGTCCTACCTCTCTCATTCGCCACTAATCCAGATATTCCATAATATTTCCATATTTGCGATGTAACCAAACGCTAAACTATTATTTATTATGTAAGTCATAGGCTTTGTACTTCAGTCTCGTTCCAACGGTGACACAGAGGCGGGCGCGCTGATGTTTGGTTCACTGTATTTTATTTTGATAAAGTACCAACTGCGCTGTCAAGTTAGCAATGCTGGAACTGATATGTTTTATTTGTGTGTGTGTGTGTGTGTGCGCGCACGCCGGCGCGATCACTTCAACTGTTTCCTTATACCAGCAAAATCAACTTTAAACACTTATTGTCTTATTAATAATGCATCACTGTATAAAGGTCTACTTTTATTGGTGTACACTCACAATGAAAACAAAACATTGTGCTTTTGTAAAATAAAGAATACAAATAGGATGTCGCTTTCTGCCATTTGAGTTTCCTTTCTGTGAACAAATTAAGCGTGTCACAAAAAGGAACTGAAACTCAGCGTATATAGGCTACGTTACGTGTCGCACTGTTTTTTTCAATGAAAACAAAACATTGTGCTTTTGTAAAATAAAGAAAACAAATAGGATGTCGCTTTCTGCCATTTGAGTTTCCTTTCTGTGAACAAATTAAGCCTGTCACAAAAATGAACTGAAACTCAGCGTATATAGGCCACGTTTACCTGTCACACTGTTTTTTCTCTTTTTTATCTGTAAACTAAATCAAATATATTTCAAGAATTTATTCCTTGTATGTATATATGTACTGCAGATTTGATATATATAACATAATGTAATAATATTTAGTATTTTCACATCTAGGTGGAAAAAAATAGTAATTTGTACTACTGTCTGTTCAAAATAAATGAAAAGAAACCGACATAGTAGATTTGTTTTTTCCCTGTTGTACCGAAATCGTATCGAACCGTGACCCCCCGAATCGAGGTACGTACCGAACCGTGACATATGTGTACCATTACACCCCTAGTGTCTAAATGAACAGAGCAGAAAGTAGCCATAAATCTTGTTACTGCGCTCTTCAATCTCACGCCTGTGGTTCTGACCAGAGTCATACATGCGAAAATCTGTTGCCCATTCTTCACTCTTCTTCACATACTACAAACTAATCCAGAGAACAGAAACAAGCACATCTACATCTGCAACAACATGGCTTTAATCTGTCTATGTGCTGCTTTAATCTATGTGCAGTCTTCAGATTCTGCTCAACAAGCTCTTAAGCATTTTGTGTAGTATTTGTTGCAGTGATGTTACTGTCCATCACTGCAACGTTTCTTGTTTCATATTCTACCCATTGTGCCTTGTTTCTTTTCTTCACAGACTTTTCCCCCCATGTCCACCCGTCTGGCCCCCTATTTTGTGTCCTAATCCCTCCTGTCAGACTAATACGATTAGTCCTTTCAGGTCCTTCTGCTGCCAGACTGCAGGAATAGAGCCATCAGACTCCCACACTTCCCCTGCTCTCTGATGAGTTTCCCTCTCCTGTCTCACTGCTT